AAAAAAAAAAAAAAAAAATTAAAAAATTAGCCGGGCGTGGTGGTGCACGTCTGTAATCCAGCTACTTGGGTGGCTGAAGCAGGAGAATCGCTTGAACCCAGGAAATGGAAGTTACAGTGAGCCAAGATTGAACCACTGCCCTCCAGCCTGGGCAACAGAGTGAGACTCTGTCTTAAAAAAAACAGAAAAGAAAATGAGAGTTTAATAAACACTTGAAGCTTTAAATTCTGTTTGTGACAATCCATCCCTTTTTCTATCTTCCATACTCTTGGTGATTACAAGTTTACGGCAGCTTACCGAGCAAAAAAAGCTTTCCAGGATTGGAGTACTTGGCATTTCTTCATGACAGTATTCATTTCACTTGGCATAAACATACCACAGCCTGTCAGTATCAGGCTTAGAGGAGGCAGCCCTGGTTGCTGCTCTCTCCTTTTCTCTTATAATCATGGGAAAGGCCGATGCAGGCCTGGGAAACAGGCCGTTTTCCTCAGGCCCTCAGAATTGAGACTACCCGGTAAGAAAAAAGATGACTACAAAACAGAATTTCCAAACATCCTATACTTAATAATCCCTGATTGATTTGAACATTTCACTATAGAACCAAAAGTAAGGATGACAGTAAGGGCCAGGAGCGGTGGCTCACGTCTGTAATCCCAGCACTTTGGGAATCCCAGGTGGGCGGATCACTTGAGATCAGGAGTTCGAGACTAGCCTGGTCAACATGGTGAAAACCCATCTCTACTAAAAATACAAAAAAATTAGCTGGGTGTGGTGGTGTGCGCCTTTAGTCCCAGCTACAAGGGAGGTTGAGGCATGAGAATCGTTTGAACTGGGGAGACAGAGGTTGCAGTGAGCCAAGATCGTGCCACTGTACTCCAGCCTGGGCCACAGAGCAAGACTCCATCTCAAAAAAAAAAAAAGACTGACAGTAAGATAAATTCCAGATTACCTAGGAAGGGGAAAAAACAAGGAGAACTGGGGGAGGGAAGGGAAGGTAGAAGGGCTTTCTGGATCCTATGACTAATAAGTAATACCGCTTCAGATGTGTGTAGCATATAACCACGTTTAAAGATCTTGACATAGGCCGGGTGTGGTGGCTCACGTCTGTAATCCCAGCACTTTGGGAGGCCAAGGCAGGGGGATCACGAGGTCAGGAGATCAAGACCATCCTGGCTAACACGGTGAAACCCCGTCTCTACTAAAAATACAAAAAATTAGCCAGGCGTGGTGGCGGTGCCTGTAGTCCCAGCTACTCGGGAGGCTGAGGCAGGAGAATGGCGTAAACCTGGGAGGTGGAGCTTGCAGCTGTCTCTTATACACATCTAGATGTGTATAAGAGACAGGTATAGGGGACTGACAATAGGCGAGATCAGTTCTTAGACTGCTGCAGAGGAGTCTCAAAACAATTCACAATGCTCTCTTCTCCTCAGGGCCCCCTGGATGGGGAGCAAATAAAGACAAAGCCTCTCTGGCTAGGCAAAGGTCTCTCTAGGTCCCCTTCCCAAGTACAAACTCTGACACTCCAGGAGGAATCCAGGGCTCCAAAATGTGACTTGGAGAGCTGACTGCAAACAGTGGGCACCTAAGGTACGGGGCACATCAAGACGAAGAGGCAATGGTTTACTGTTTTAGACTCCATGTCGCAGAGAAGACAAAAGTTAGTGGATTGCAAGGCACTCCCAGAAGAATACACAATTTGGCATTCCAGAGAACATTTCTGGGTAATTTAAGCAACATAGGAGCATGACGGGCTTATGGTACCCCATGGTTATGTAAAAAATTCCTCAATGACTGAAATGTTCTGGTGAAAGGCATCACTTGTACTTACCTTTTAAATCTGTCATTTCTACCCAACCTAACTCTGGCAACTCGAGAGGTTCTCCCGTGGAGAGCGTCTGGACATCAGAGGGAAACAGCAGCTCACTTCTGTAGTCCTGGCAGTGGAGCGTGGACAGAAACACCCCCGCTGTGCTGCACTCATCAAACGAGGCTGCCGTCTTCTGAAACATGGGATCAATCTGAACACAGGGAGAGAAGACACTGAAGGTTTACGGCATGTAGCCAAGGGAAATATAAACTCTCACGCCTTTGGCCCCGCTCGTTAGCAGGTGTATACAATGGACTGAAATATCTACACTCATGGTCAAAAGTGTGTTTTGTTTGTTTGTTTGTTTTTGAGACGGAGTCTTGCTCTGTCGCCCAGGCTGGAATGTAGTGGCATGATCTTGGCTCACTGTCAACCTCTGCCTCCCAGGCTCAAGCGATTCTTGGGCCTCAGCCTTCCAAGTAGCTGGGACTACAAGTATGCGCCACTACACCTGGCTAACTTTTGCATTTTTAGTAGAGACGGGGTTTCACCATGTTGGCCAGGCTGGTCTTGAACTCCTGACCTCAAGTGATCCACCCACCTTGGCCTCCCAAAGTACTGGGACTGCAGGTGTGGGCCACCACACCCGACAAAAGTGGCTTTTCTAATTGATCAGATAAAATCCCGGTTCAAAAGAAAGGCTGGTTATAGTCAGGGGATAAACATACACTGCTGCAGAAGACAGTACGTGGTAGCAAGTGTACACTGTGCCAACTGGCTTTTTTATAATACACCTGGACGTGTATCCTTGCAGCTGGTCTCCTTTTATAAGTCACTAACAAATTCCATTGGCTTAAAAAGCCTGTGTGACAGAGCTAGTCACAGGCTCTACTGTTCTCCAAACAGAAGTATCTTCTAAAGTTTGGAAGAACATACCCAAGATATCCAGGCAAAGGACAGACAGAGTCAGTAGGGCTAGCTGGCCGGGTAAAACCTGAGAGAGGTTTTAAGAAGGTCCCTAAGACTGGGTCAGGAGCAGGAGTGGCATGGCCATATGACACCAAGCCCAAAGGCAAAATAAGGCACTGGGCATAAGAATACGGGCAGGGCAAGCCACACACATGTGTAGCAAGAGGCTAGAAGCCCCCTGGGACTCTGCAGGTGACCCTGAGACAGGAGATATGGCGGGGGATTGGGTTCATGGGTCTCCCTGATGCCTCAGAACATGGCTGCTATCGAGCGAGGGGCTTGGATAGGACAACACAGATGTGGCTCCCTGGCTCTTCCCTGGCCCCCTTAGCTCAGAGTCCAAGCTCATCAGAACTGATGAGTCCAAGCTCAACAGAGCTGGACTCTACCATAAGCCCATCTCACCATTCTTCATCCCAGAGAAGCACATTCGTCATCGCCACGTTCTCCCGTCCCCTTAGCCCTCAGGCAGTCACACGTCCAGGTCAGTTACCTCTCAGTGCATCTTTCCATCCCCAGAGCCAGCAATATGACCCTTATCTCTGGCCCGTCCCAATTCCTATCCTAAAAATACCAGTGCCGTTACTCCTATTCTCTTCTCAAATGCTATCCAGAGTAACGGTTTCCCATCTGGAGGCTTGCATCCCTAGAAGTCTTAGGTAGGTAGTTAATGGAACTATACTCAGCACTTCAGAGACAACATGGAAACTGTACCTTGACCCACATTAAAGCCGAAACACTGTGATAACGTTCCTCACTTGTGTCTAGAATTATATCATGTGTGAGAACAGAGGGATTTATATCCCTAAGCAATTCAATGGGACAGTAGATGAAGCCTTCTGAAACAAGGGTCCGCAGTAAGGAAGGACCACAATAAAAGGCCTTGGAATAGACCGAATGATAAAGTTCAAGATCTCTTTAGGTGATGTCTAAAAGCAAATCCTTGGCTCTAGCCAAACTCGTATACTCTCCAGCTTCCTAATCAGAACCTTCCTGTGCTGTGGCATTTGCTTACACCTCTACTTAAAACCACCTCCCTGGCAATGTCTACCTGACAGACACCTAGCCTTCCTTCAAGGCCCAGTTCAAGTCTTGCCTCTTCCATAAACTCTGAGCCCTACCAACTCTGGTTTCCTACAGTGTAAGCCTTGACCTTCCTTGCATGCATCTACCTGTATTATCCCAGTATGAAGAACTGAAGCACAATCATGCTTGAATCCTCTATGATGGCAAGTGTTCTGCACACACTGAAGAGCTGTGTCCAAAAGAGATTAGCTCATATATAAAAAAGTGTTCTCAACTGGTCTAGACACACCCACACATTTGCTTTCCAACCTCCAAGAAAATGAGAGTTTACACCTGTAATCTCAGCACTTTGGGAGGCCGATGCAGGCAGATCACTTGAGGTTAGGAGTTCGAGACCAGCATGGCCAACATGGCAAAACCCTGTCTCTATTAAAAATTAAAAAATTGGCCGGGCACGGTGGCTCAAGCCTGTAATCCCAGCACTTTGGGAGGCCGAGACGGGCGGATCACGAGGTCAGGAGATCGAGACCATCCTGGCT